CTCCCGATTCGGATTTTGATCCAAATTTCATTGAACCGGTGACAGCTCAGCACCGGATCCCATGTCCGCCCATGTTTATAACTGCGGTAAAGAAACAATGGGCACTACCAGCCTCCTTTCCCCTTCCGAGTGCCACGGACAAAAAGTTGTTCAACGTGGCCAAGGAGTTGGAGGAAGCGCTGGAGGTCCCTGCGGTGGATGAGCCTTTCAGACCATTGATTTCCCCGACAGCCATTGCGGGGGATGTGTCGGAAGCATTGAGGTCTGAGGACCGTAAGTGCGAGTCATCTTTACGCAGGATCCACCAGGCATCCGCTTGGGCCATTAGGGCTGCGACCTCAGCGTCGTTTTTCACTAGGGCCGCCCACCGTTGGCTGAAACAACTGCAGGCTTGCACCCCCAAGGATGATGTCCGGTCCCAACAGGACATCAGTAAGATGGTTGCAGCTATGGAATACGCCTCGGATGCTACGCTCCAGGCGACTAAGTTCGCTTCCAGGGCCATGGCTTCAGGGATCACCAGTCGACGCATGCTTTGGCTTAAACATTGGCATGCTGATGCCAAATCCAAGTGGCGTCTGTCCTCTGCCCCGTACCAGGGAGGTAAATTATTTGGTGAGGCTTTGACTCCATATCTCTCAGAGAATAAGGATAAGTGCAAAGTCCTCAACCATATTATTAAGAAGGCTGACAAGAGGCAAAATTATTTCCCCCGTAGGCAGTCTTTTCGGGGGGGGAATAGATATAATTATTCTAACTCTTTTCGTCCTTTCCCTCCCAGACCGGACCGACAGGAGGGGTCATTTGACAGACAGGCGAGCAAGCCCAGGCAGGGTAACCAGGGTAAGCGGCCCTTTTGAGGGAGCGGCCGGCCATTTCGTCGCTCCAGGTGACTCCCCGGAAATGGGGCCTCCCATAGGAAGCAGACTATCGCTGTTCTTCCACCAATGGGAGGTCACCGCCACGGACAGGTGGGTCCTAGACACCATACGGTCCGGCCTCCACCTGGAGTTCGTCTCCACGCCTGTAAACAGGTTCATTTCTTGCCCGTTTCCCCGAAACCTAGCCAAAAGAAACCTGATGAACCAGGCCATCCAGCATCTTCTGGAGATAAGGGCCGTGGAAACCGTTCCGGTGAACCAGAGAGGGCGGGTATTCTACTCCATCCTCTTTGTCGTTCCAAAAACGTCAGGAGGATGGAGAGCCATCCTGGATCTAAAGAATTTGAATCTTCATATCAGATATCAAAAATTCAAGATGCAGACACTCCGCTCCATTTTGGGGAGCGTGAGAAAGGGAGACTTCCTGACATCCATCGATCTCACGGAAGCGTATTTCCATATCCCCATCTCTATCGCTCACCGGCGGTTTCTACGGTTCAGTTACCAGGGAGAGCACTATCAATACAGAGCTCTACCCTTTGGCCTCTCGTCGGCCCCCAGGGTGTTTACCAAGATCCTGGCGGTCCTGGCAGCTCGCCTTCGGATGGTACCGATCAGGGTCCAGTGTTACCTGGACGACATCCTGATCCAGTCAACCTCCGCCCACTCGGCACGA